GGGGGGGGGGGGGGAGGTTTAATGACTAGCCAGTGCAATTCATGGCTGCCTCTTGGAGAGCAAACTTGGTCTTTTGAATCCACACTAGGAAAGCAAATATTTTCATAGTAAATACTGCCTTCTTTTCCAGAGGTCAAGTGTCATAGACCAAACATTCAAAATGGAAGAGTGACAAATGTGTTTCAAGCTATGTATACATATGACAGTGGCATATCGTTTCGATGCAATTCTGGCTACACTTTGGTAGGGGCTGCTTTTGTTAAATGTGATGCTAATAGTAAATGGAATCCTCCTGTTCCCAGCTGTGTTGAGAGTAAGTATTTAATTTTTCTTAAGTCTTTATTGAACTTCAGTGCTGAACATTAAAATTGTGAATTTTAACATTGGGCATCATGGATCGGTGAAGAAAGCTACATAAACATTTTTCCCTCTCTTTTTGGCTAGGTGTAGTCCCCACCCCTACCAAACCAACCAGATCCCCCACACCTGCTGTTCCTCCTACCCCCCCAATTCCCCCTATGCCTGGCACTGTTCCTCCAGAAGATGAAACTGAAGGTGAGTCATAACGTGGAAAGGGAAAACAAACACGTTAAATATACAGGTTACAAGATGCAAAGGAAAGGCAAGGAATTGTACTTTGCAGCTTGTTGTTTGGTCTGGATGAAAGAATGGATGTTGCTGAGAAACAAAAAACTTTTAGAGTTAGAAGTCCATAACCTGAGGTTTGGATGGTATAGATATTTATGTAGGATAAAATTAAAGTCAATGTGGATTTTAAAAACCATTTTATTAGATGTGCCATATTGAGAATATGGGATAGATATAAACCCAGGCTGTGCCCAAAAACACTTCTATGGATCTCAGCATAATAAGCATTTTATAGACAAGAAACAGCAGGCAAAGATAAATGGTTAATGTACCAGGAATTATTGGAAAATCACCAAGGGGAATACAAATTAAATCAAGAGAGCAACTAATGGCAGAAGGATATAGCTGTCAATGGTTTTCCCATTTACAGTTATCAGAAAGATTTTAAATGGATAAAAAGACTTAAGGTATGGAGCAAAGTAAGACAGAATTTGAAGTGCAATTGTGTACTGATGATGAACATGTAATTACTAAAATGTATAAGCTTTTGCTGAAATTTAGAATAGAGGAAGAATAAGTTAAAGAATGTATGATAAAGTGGGCTAAGAATTTTGGCTATAATATACAGATGGATCAATGGGAAAATATGTGCTGAAAAGTTAAAATTTACATTATGTTATGATCTTAAAGAGAATTTTTATAAAATGATGTATTGTTGGTACATGACACCAGAGAAATTATCTAGAATGTATAAAGATATTTCAAATGTATGCTGGAAATGTGAACAACATGAGGGGACATTTTATCATGCTTGGTGGACATGTAAAAAAAGATATACAAATACATACATTGACACAGAGGATTTTAAAGAATAATATTCAACTGAAGCCAGAACTTTTCCTTTTAGGATTGATGGATAAAGAGTTAGAAAACAGCCTTGGAAGATTACTTCAATTTATGACTACAGTGAAGAGATTACTAGATGAACAAAGATGGAAAAATTTGGCATTACCCACCATCGAGGAATGGTTGGTGAAATTTTTAAAAAAGGAAAGAGGTATGACATGAGCTGAAGTCTGAAAAATTCAGATATAAATCTCCCTTTTGCCCATGGAACAAAGATGGACCCCTGTGGAACACTGAGTGTAAACCAATTGTCCTGCAGTGCTGTTGAATCCAATTTACTAACACCATGGTTGTAAGCGAATTGCACAATTTCTAAAAGAGAAGTTCATGGATCATTAATCTTTTTTCTAGATTTAGACCATATGAAATTTACAAATATTCATTTAGGGTATCATTTCCACTAGTGCAGAAAGGCACGAGTCTGGCTAGAAAAGTATATCCCAAATAGTTCTTATTCGAAAAAGCAAATGTTTGACTATATTGTATGATATCCAGAAATAGGATGGCTTATGTTAAGGTGAATATATGTGTTTTTCACAATGTGCATAACAGATATATTATAGAGTGCAGATATTGAATGATATTTTTAGAGTTTGTGAGCGTGCCTAGGGTGAGCCAATACTATTTGGAGTAAGTGATCTCTCAGATAACCACATAGGACTTTATAACCAGCAGCTTTTACATCTTGTACAGACATTTACAAACCCTGAATGTTATCCAGAGGTACAAATGGTTTAGTAGCCTCTGGAAACCAATACCTGTCTCTTACTACCCAGTGCCCCTCCCTTCCAAAGCCCAAACTCTAGGAGTGTTTCTCAAAGTTAAGTACAAGAGGAATGGAAATCAGAGAAGAGCAAATATAAATCTTTCATTTTGTCAGTGGAACAAGCACAAATTTGAAATACTTCTGAGATATAGGCTCAGCTAATTTGAGCCAGGAACATGACATTCCTGATCTTTTGAGAAATAAAAGACATTTTATTTGTTTGTTTCTTTATCATTTCAATTTATATGGCTGTCCCATATAAATTTCCCCACTGTTTAGTTAGAGATGTGCACTATGTTGTCTTTCTTAGTGATCAAATATTATTTCCCTTTTTCAACAGAAAAGTCCCTTGAAGATCGGTTGGATAAGATTGAAAAAAAACTGGATCTAATCCTGCATATGCTCATACTGCAACTAACCAGATAGAGAACAACAGTTGACTAATGATGGTTGCCACAGAACATTCTTTCTTTGATATTCCAACAAGACTTACGTTTTCAAAATATATGCTTAGATATGTAATCTGGGGGGCGGGGGTGGCAATGAAGTTGGGGAAATGATCATACTTTTAAAAATTGCTATTGCAGAAGATGAAATAAACTTACCGCATATACCGAATCACTTAAAGTAATATTCATGCCAGATTCACAAATGAACCATCATGTTATCAATGTAGAGTGTATTAAAGAAAACTAGTGGTAACCATCAAACTCCCTTGACCAGGACTTGACTGTAAATCACAAATCTTTGTTGCTACTTGACTTAGCTGGCTCCTTGCTTGACTTGGCAGGAGACTCAGAAGCACGGCTCAGGATCTTTATGGCAAGGTAGAAGGAAACCATGCAAAGTAATGGATTGCCCGCTCCTGGTGAGAGTCCACAAATTACCTTTAATATCCAGTGTACTTTAAGCTCACTTTTTTTTTTTTTACCTTTTGTCCTTCCCATGAATAGATAGAGCTTTTATGCAGTGTTTGGCAACTTTGAGACCAACCAGTTACAAATGCTCGTGCAGTGACTGCAATTGGTTCCAGCAAAATGGTTGCTGAGTGAACCATGTGACTGAGAAAGAGAGAGAGATGCTGTGAAAATCGTTGGTTGCTGCCGTCTCATTTAGATAAAGTTCTCTTTTACAGTGCCCCATGCCTGACCCATTTTCCCTCCTTTTTTTTGCCCTATTGCAGGGTGAAGAGATTGCTTAAACAAGCTATTCTCCACAGCCCAGGGCATCCCTAAAAAAGTGCTAATGGCAGGTTAACAAGCTCAGCTCTGTGACCTTAATTGGTTGGTTAGAAACCTTCTGTTGGCTGGCAGTTCCTTCTTGAAACTGACCAGACCTTAATCAGTTTGACACCAAAATCTTTTGTTGTGGTAAATAATGCACATGAGTCAGAAAATGAATTTTTTATTACCATTGTATTTGGGAATGGTCGCTAAACAAAGACTACCTGTATTACATCTTTACATAACTGCCATCTCTGGGTTAAGAAACATGTGTTACATCTGTTCTTGTAAGGGTATGCAGGAAGGACTTGGGAAGACAGGAGGAAGAGCCGCAAACTAGGCAACAGTCAGATTAAAGTCAGCTGAACCCGCAGAAGGAATGGGGGCATGGCAAACATCTCAGAAGGGACCCTTCCTAGTTTTTTTACTGTAAATGTGAGGAGGGGAGAGATGTATTTTCAGACTTGCAAGAAGTCTGAATTACATCTTTACATAACTTCCATCTCTGGCTTAAGAAACATTTGTTATATGTGCTGTAACTTAATGCTGCAAAAAGTCATAAGGAGAGAGGTAGTTTGAAATCAAAATGCCCAGCTGCCTGACTGCCATGGCAGAATTGCAGCAAGTTATCCCTCAAGAAAGGAGGAAAGTATAACTGGTTGATGTGTGCAGTTCTCCCTGTTCTTAGGATATGGGGAAGAAGACAGCAAAGAGTTTCTCTGAAGGTCATGAATCTGAGTCTGCACATAAGGCTCCTGTCCTTGCTGAGCACTGGTCCAGTTAGTTGAGGAAGAAGTCTCCCTTCCAGCTCTTAGATCAGGTGCTGGAGGCAGGAGTCAAAAATGTCAGGGGAGAGAGTGATCACCTAAGATATATTCTGATTTATGCAATAAAGCATCGACCTGTTTGTTGTGCAAGGTTAAAATATAGGAAATTGTGCCCACCTGATCTGGTACTGTGTAAGATTGTGACAAGTCTGTAGTGTTCAGAATTCTTGTGGCCTGCCTGAACTTCCAAAGGGTAGCCTTCAGAAGACTTAGCCTTTGAGGAGATTCATTGTGCCAGTGCTCAATGAAATGCTTCCGTGATGGCCAAAACCTCCTTGTTAAAAACACCATAGTTTGTTTCAGGCAATAGCAACTCTCCAGAAGGGAATGCAGCCAGTGTCAGGAAAGTGAAAGCTCAGATCAATATAAGGATAGCAAAGGATGCTAAGAATAACAACCAAATGCTCCTTTAGGTAAGCTGAAAAGAAAAGGAGTCACTGTATCAGTTGCTCAGTTATAAGACAAAATGTTAATAAGTAACAAGAAGCGAAGCTACTCAACCTCCATCATCTGATGTTTCAAATATGAACCATTTTTACACCAAACAGTGATAGAATATAATAACACACATGCTAATTATTCTTTTAGGGAAAAGATGTTGCCTACCAGATATAGAGAACAACAACAGAGATGCTGATGGTGACCTTCACCTCGGTGATAATGTAACTTTCTCCTTTGTGCATAAGTGAGTTGTATTTCACCTCTTTGTGCTGGTAAGAAGTACTTCTCAACACACACGTGAGCTGCATTCACTATCAAACCTGTGAGATCCCCCCCCACCCACTACATGCGAATTGGTTAAAGCGCCTTGCAAGAAAACATGCACAGTAAGCTGAATTGGCCTTGAGTGGCAACAGGGGGAAGAATCAGACAGGAACTGGTGGCCCTTTAATCTGTCTTAAAAATAATAACTACACAAAATTCAATTTAGAATAAAGTTCAGGGTTTTTTAAAATGGTATTCTTATATGTAAATATATAAGTATACAGTACTACCACTCTTCTGAAAAATATTTAAATCAGGAGAATCTGAGATAGTTTTCAAAACTGCCTATTTTGAAATAGCCTTGATGGAATTTCAGAACACCAGAAGTTCTATAATCTAGGCCAGTGATGGCAAACCTATGACACACGTATCAAAGGTGACACACCACAACGTTTTGAGTGACACACCAGCAGTCACCAACACCTGAAAACAACTATTCTCCCTCTTTGAGTTACCAAACAAACTGAGTTTGTTTTACTCATATTTCATTTTTGTAATTATTTGATGTTTCTTTATATAATACATAGCACCACACATTATTGGACTGTATTTTTTTTAAATAAATGAATATTTAAATAATTGTTTCTCTTTTGTTTGTTACCAAACAAACTGAGTTTGTTTTACTCATATTTCATTTTTGTAATTATTTGATGTTTCTTTATATAATACATAGCACCACACATTATTGGACTGTATTTTTTTTAAATAAATGAATATTTAAATAATTGTTTCTCTTTTGTTTGGTGGGGTGTGTGGGATGACACACCTGGAGAGTCAAGTTAGGCGTTTTCCAAATTTTTGACATGCCAAGCCCAAAAATTTCACTGTCACTGATCAAGGCACCATGGGCTAACCAGCTAAACAAATTTTATTGAAAATTTTATATCGATGGCTTTGGAAGCAGATCTTAATGTGTAAAGCAGGAAAGGGTGCTCTATGACCCTCTAGATCCAGCCAGATTTCATCTCTAGCCAGAATGATTAGTATTCATGAGAGAATACATAGTCTAGCACAATGTTTCTCAACTTGGGAGCTTGAAGATGTGTGGATTTCAACTCCCCAAATTCAACTCCCCCCCTTTTTTTAATAAATGTTATTAAATTTCAGAAATATTTAAATACAAAAAAGTCAAAAAGAAAAGAAACATCAGAAAAGAAAAAGCATAGAAAAAGAAAAGTAACTTCCGACTTTCTTTGGTACAGGTATAAAAGTAAAATTTGTTCATCTCTTACCCAAATATCTAAAAATTTACATAGTAAAAATAAATTTTAGTTTAACATTCAGAAAGATCATAGAATCAAACTATTTCAGCAATACATATGATTTGTACAAGATATTTCTATAGGTATAAAATAAATCAGTCATCCAATCCCAAAATCAAAACTGCATTTTTTTGAGTATCAAGCAAAAAGTCCAAGAGTGGTTTCCAATTAGAAACAAAGCTAGACAATGTCCTCTCTCTAAGCAAAGTAGTCAATTTTGCCATCTCCGCCAGTTCCATTAATTTCAATATCCCTTCTTCGGCTGCTGGTATTTGAAGATCCTTTCATTTTTGTGCATATAAAAGCCTTGCTGCAGTTATCAAGTGAAAAAATAAGTTTTTGTATTGTCTTTCCATTTGTTTATCCATCATACCTAAAAAGAAAGTCTCTGGTTTCAATTGCAAATCCATTTTCAAAATCTTTTGAATCAAAATACATATCATGTCCCAATATTTCTTGGCTTTTTCACAAGTCCACCATAGATGATAACAAACATTTGAAGTTCCTTTGTACATCTTAGAGAGTTTATCTGGTGTCAGATACCAATGGTACATTATACAAAATTTCTTTGAATGTATCATTAAAAGTGAACTTTAAACTTTTATTCCACATATTTTCCCACTGGTCCAGCGTTATATCCAAAGTTCTTGGCCCATTTAACCATACAGTCTTTAACATATTCATCTTCCAAATTCATCTTTAACAAAAGTTTATACATTTTAGCAATAAGATGTTCATTGTTAATACACAAGGCATATTCAAACTCAGTTTTCTCAGTGGTGAATTCATAACTTTTCTTATCTAATTTAAATCTTTCCAGCAACTGTGCATATGTAAACCATTGGCAAACACAACCTTTCAGTTCTAATTCTTCTCTCTTCTTCAGGTTAGGTTCTCCTTCAGAAACCGATTACAAAATTGCATACATCAACCATGGTTGCTTAAGTGTCATTTCTCTTCTGTAAAAAGCTTCTTGGGGTGACAACCACAAAGGAATTTTTGGACACAATC